GTATACAAATTTTTAAAATCCATCAATGTTCAAAGATGTAATATGATACCCTAAACCTTAATTAAATCATGCACTCATTTATTCATAATAACCAAAATTCTATATCAAAAGTTATTTATGTATTATGATACCACAAACCCTCAAATCAAACATTCGTTTGTTCATAAAAAGTCAAACCCTATATCAAAATTATTTATGTATTATGATACCCTAAAACAAAAACCCCAAACTCTATACCCTAAATCATAAATCAAACATTCATTAAAAACCAAAATCCTATATTACAAACTATGTATTTATTGATATACCCTAAACCCTAAATCTTTATTCTTACTTTTTTGTTTGTATGTTTAAATTTTTTTATATGATTTATGAAATGAGTGTATTTTTATATAGTTTGTGAAACCTTAAACCCCAAAGCATACACTCATTAGATTTACACTTAATTTACCTATGGAAATTTAGTAATAATCTCATTTGTAATTTTGATAAATAGTTAAAAAAAATTCAAATTACATTATGGAATCAATTTGATACAATATTCTCAATTTGAATTTGAACTAAAATCTGAGTATTCATGACATTCATCTTCTAAATCATCTTCGGAAACATGCTCGTCATTAGGATTATCCATCGGTAAGGGCTCATCAGTTTCACGAAACCCCCTTGGCATAACTTTGGTCGTTGCCCACCATTTGTGTCTATATTTATTGTGTCTATATTTCCACGACAACAATTGTGGCTAGTTTGTGGCAAGTTGTCCACAAAACAATGTTGTCGCTAATTGTGGCAAAATAGAGACAAATTGACACAAACCAAAATTGTGGCTAAATATTTAGCCACGAACGAGTTACAAAATTTAGAGGGTTTGTAGTTTTGTCTGATTTATGGCTATTTAGTCGTTGTTACATAAATTTTTGTGGCTAAATCGTGGCTATAAACTGTTATTTTTGTAGGGAATGAATTATTGTGTATGTGTTCGTGGAACCGCCGACACAAAGTAGTTTGGATTGATCGAAAAGATATTCATGGAATATGATAGAGTATCAGGTGGCTGTTTAACTAAAAAGCCATGGTATTCAAATGCGAACGGTACCACACTTTGTCGAGGAATCCGAATTGAAAGTGGTTTGTTAGGATGCACGAAAACATGAAATTTTTGAACAAAAGATGGCTGGGCTTATTGATATGAATAACTAGTTATTATAAATGAAAAAACACATATCTTGTAATGGCAATATATATATATATAATAGTGCAAAATATATGTTGATTGTGAAATAGACAATGTAGTTGCAATATATCAGATTATTACTAAGTTTTAAGTTGTAATATATGAAATTAAATTTAAATCTTGATAATTAATT